TTGAGGACGGAATTTCCTTATCAGGTCCCGGCGTTGGCCGTTCTTAATTACCCACAAAATCGTGAAGTATACAAACAGTGTGTAGAACAAGGGAGCTAATAACCGTGGAAGAGCCATGGATTTAAAACGGGGCTGGAAATATCGATCATCATAAACGCAAATAACGGACGTGATTCTTTGAAGGAATCTCGAGTGGACGATCGAAAATGCGAATATAGTTTCTTCTCAAACGTCTCTAGATCAACAGAAATACTTACATCATATCACTCAAGTATGCCTCTTCATTTTCAAATAACACACTATTTATGGATAACAATTACATGTGTTATATGCTTGATAACGACTTGTGAAATCTTGTTGAAACGTCGCAGTGAAATAAACCACAGTAATTGTTATCCATAAATAGTGTGTTATTTGATTATGTTCCAATTACTAAATGCCATTTAAAGAATATGCCTCTTCATTTGTAACATAAACATACATATAGATACAGGTGGTGAGCCAATCTTTCAATGCAATAAAAAATCAGGTTTTTTGGACGGAATTTATAACGTCCGTTACACACTTTTTAAACAATTTTTTTTTATTGAAAAATATTAAGATTGTTGGAATTTGACACTTCTGATGGATAGAAACATCCTTTATCTTCAATTTAAGAAACAACTTGTAGATTTCCATCCATGCCTTCAGTTTCAAAATACTTTCCTTTTTTTTAACACCACCAAGAGGGACAATTTTAGACCCCAAAAAAGGGGGTATTTTTTTTTTTTGTCTCGCAATAAATACTTTATTTGTACTATTTTGATCATAAAGTTGTGTTTATTGTCCCTTTATTATATTTTGTATATAACCATACCAAAAATTACATTGGATTTGTCCTAGTTTCGAAAAAAATCAATTTACCCAAAGCCATATATTAGTTCTACACCATATTGTGGCCTGTGTCATAACAAGGTTGTGGGCCGTCGAGAGGTCACAATTTTGATCAGATTTTGATGAAACTTGAAATGCATGTTTATAACCAAAAGGTCTTGGTTGCTTTCGATATACGTGCATATCAGATCAAAATTTCCTGAATTATGGCCCCTGATTGTACGAAAAATTGCGTTTTTATACGTCCACATTAAAGTGTGGTTGTGTATTGTCGTCGCCCCCGCCGGGATCCGGTGTCCAAAATTGCTTGTGGACATGGACACTCTAGAAGCTAAAGATCACATCCGATTTTCTTTAAATTTATACACAGTGTTTAAGGTAATGAGACAAAAAAGCCTATTGAATTTCAGCGATTTCGCATAATTACTGCCCTAGTTATGGCACTTGATCACTTTAAAAAATCTTGTGGCCGCTCTAGAGGCTAAAGTTAATATCCAATTGACTTTAGATTTATACACAGTGTTTAAGGTCATGAGACGAAGAAGACTATTGATTTTCAGCGATTTCTGATAAATACTGCCCGAGTTATGGCCCTTGATCACTTAAAAAATCTTGTGGACGCTCAAGAGGCAAATTTATACACAGTGTTTAAGGTCATGAGACGAAGAATCCTATTGACTTTCAGCTATTTCGGATAATTACTGCCAGAGTTATGGCCCTTGATCACTTTGAAATATCTTGTGGACGCTCTTGAGGCCAAAGTTAATATCTGATTGACTTTAAATTTATACGCAGTGTATCAACCTTAGATAGAAATGTTCTAAAAAAAAAAAAAATTACTGTCCTGTATCAAACTTGAGTTTTATCTCCAAAATTTTTGAAAAATGTATAGTCAGACAACTGATTGAACATATTGACACACACAACCTTCACGATAGTCTACAAAGTGCATATCGTAAGTTTCACAATGTTGAGACGGCTCTTATTTACTCTTTACACTGCTCCAGTTGGTAAAATTTTAAAAGACATGGTTTTGACTATCATATTTATGCCAATGATACCCAGTTGTATTTAAGTTTTAATCCTTTAAATGCGAATGAGCATGCTTTGAGCAAATCTAATATGTCTAATCACGTGAACAATATTTGTAAATCCTGCTACTTTCATATCCGTAATATTGGCAAAATTCGCAAATTCATTTCCTCTGATTCAACTAAAACTCTTGTTCATGCTTTTATTACTTCAAGACTTGATACTTTTAACTCACTTTTATCCGACTTACCTAATAAATTAATGTACAAATTACAAAAAGTTCAAAACACTGCTGCGCGACTTATTACCCTAACAAAAAGGCATGATCATATTACTCCCATACTTAAACAACTTCACTGGCTACCCATTCCATATCGTATTCAATTTAAGATTCTTTTAACTGCTTCCTATAAATGTTTTCATGGCTTAGCCCCATCTTTTTTATGTCATCTAATTGAAAAACAAACAAATGCTCGTAGTCTCCCTTGTTCAAATGACATTTATTGTCTCAAACCAAGATCTGCTAGAATGGTTACTTGTGGTGAAAGATCGTTTTCATTTTAAGCCCAAAACCTGTGGAATGATATAAAACCGTCTGGTTCCGATACTGATATTCGTTCCAGCGTACAATCTTTTAAATGTGCTCTTAATCAAAAAAGCTTTTACTTAGATATATATTATTTTATTATATTGCATCTTTTTGTAGTCTTTTAGTTGTTTTAATTTTTATACACCAACATTGAAATGTGGTCGTATATTGTCATCGCCCCTGTTCGTCCCTCTGTCGATCCGTCTGGCCGGCCGGCCGGCATCCACAATTGCTCGTGGATGCTCTAGAGGCTAAAGTTGATATTTTTATACAGTGTTTAAAGCCATGAGACGAAGAAGCCTATTGATTTTCAGCGATTTCCGATAATTACTGCCAGAGTTATGGCCCTTGATCACTTCGAAAAAATCTTGTGACGCACTAGAGGCTAAAGTTATCATCTGATTGACTTCAGATTGATACACTGAGTTTCAAATCTTGATACGAACAAGTAAATTTTTATGACTTGAACAGTTAAATCCATGATATTAAAAGTTTTGTATACTAAGTGTTAGCATGGGGCAGAACTTTATAAAAACCAAACAAATTCTAATGGTTTTCTGATAATTAATTCATGAGTTGTTACTCTTAATCAGATTTTAGTGTATTATAAATGTTTCATTACTGAAAAAAGTAAAAATATGCAACAGCACTTGTTGACTGCCCAGACGATTTAGCTGCTGTGGGCGTATGTTTCATTGCCTGGCAACCTATCTTTGTTATACTGGTATATGATTGTACTCATTGTTTTGTAAAGCGCTTCTGAACACCGTTGGTGAAACTAGCGCTATATAAATGTTCAATAATAATAATAAGGTCATGAGAAGAAGAAGCCTATTGATTTTCTGGAAATTCTGATAATTACTGCCAGAGTTATGGCCCTTGATCGCTTCAAAATATCTTGTGGATTCTCTAGAGGCGAAAGATAATATCCGATTGACTTTAAATTTATACAAAGTGTTTAAGGTTATGAGACGAAGAAGCCTATTGGTTTTCAGTAATTTCGGATAATTACTGCCAGAGTTATGGCCCTTAATCACTTCTAAAAATCTTGTGGATGCTCTAGAGGCTAAAGTTAATATCCGATTCACTTTAAATTTATAAGTAGTGTTTGAGGTCATGAGATGAAGAATCCTATCAATTTTCAACGATTTCGGATTATTACTGCCAAAGTTATGGTCCTTGATCACTTTGAAAAATCTTGTGATGCTCTAGAGGCTAATGTTTTTTTATCATCCGATTGACTTCAGATTGATACACAGAGTTTAAGGTCTTGAGACGAACAAGTATATTGATTTTCAATGAACTTTTATAACTTAACAGCTAAATTCATGATATTAAAAGTTTCGTATACTAAACGTTAGCATGGGTCAGAACTTTATAAAAACCAAACAAATTCTAATGGTTTTCTGATAATTACTTAATGAGTTGTTACTCTTAATCAGATTTTAGTGTATTATAAATGTTCCATTACCGAATAAAGTAAAAATATGCAACAACACTTGTTGACTGCTTGCGATTTGGCTGCTGTGGGCGTATGTTTTGTTGCCTGGCAACCTATCATTTTACCCTTTGTCTATATAAGTCAAAACAGAGCATAAGACGAATGCCAGACTTCTGCTGAAAAATGTATCGACTTGACCCGAAAAATACGATAATTTGGGAGGAATTTGAAACAGTACGGATCGGCAGCTTTCATTCTATCGTATTACGACATCACGTAATTTTGTAGGAATATTACTGGCATAAATTTGAATAACGTACGGGAATTAAATATGAAAAATAACGAGTTGCGCCTATTTTTTATTACGTATGAATTTGAATATTTTGTTGACGCATGATTTTTGTGTGTGGTCTAAAAACTGCCTGCTTAAATAACAACAGGAGTTATATTCCTTTATTTTTGGTGTCCATCAAATGGGTACAAAACCAGACCTAATTTTTCTAGAGTATAATTTTGCATAGAATATGATGCCGAGTGGTAATCAGTCCGCTGTTTATTAATTAGAACAGGTTTCGCTTTAGTTTTTATATTTTACGTTGACATTTTATTGCTTTAAATCTTCCTAGTGCAAAAACTGTAAATTTCATCTTTTGACCTCCAGGGTCACTAAGACTAAAGGTGAATTTAGCAAGTTTACATTTTTATTGAAAGTGTGATTACTTTCGATCATTTTCAGCTTCTTTTCATAATACAAGAATGGCTGTGCATTCACTTTCAGTGCAAATGAACACATTTGACCTTTGACCCCGAATATCTCGAAAACGCCCCAACGGCGGACTGATTACCACTTGGCATCGTATTCTACGCAAAATTTTACTCTAGAAAAGTCGTGTCTGGTTTTGTGCCCATTTGATGGACACCCACCCCCGCACTGAGCCTCCGGTCTATATCGACCTCTTGCATAATGTGGGTGTATCTTGCGTGGCAGACCCTGGTTCTATAAGATTGTCTACTTTATAATTATATAAACAAAAGTAATGTTTAATGTACTATCTTTATTTACAGGTGAATCCATTAAATGATGGGTCTAGCTGTTTAACAGTCTTTGATCTATGTTTGAATGTACAACATCATCCATCAGTTACTATACAGGTATCAGGTGTAGGAGGTGTAGATGTTATTATGTTGGATAAGGTAAAATTCTTTGAAATTTCTTTTGATGAATTGGAACCATGCCTTAATATATTGGTCGATGAATTTAGAATTATTGTTCCCTGGCTTTCTATGAAAGCAGGGGACTATTAAAATGGATTCATCCGTCCGTCTGTTGTCTGTCCGTCCGTCCGTCCGTCAGTCACACTTTTTGGGACACAATAACTCTATTTCTAATTGAGCTAGTATGTTCAAACTTGGTGTAGGTGTTTATTAGGTCTATACCTTGATGGAGTTTGAAGATGAGCATTTTCTGCTTAGGGTAAGCAGAGATAAGCAATTTGATTGGTTGATGCTTTGGGACACGATAACTTTAGTTCTAATTAAGTGAGAGTGATGAAACTGGGTATATAGTTTCATTATATCATAACCTTGACTATGTTCCACAATGAGCATTTTCTGCTCAGGGTAAGCAGAGCGATAAGCAATTTGATTGGCCGAGACTTTGGAACATAATAACCCTCCTTCTCATTGATCTCCCCCCTGGGGTGTAGGGGGTGAAAAGAATATACCCTTCGTATAAAAGGATCCCTGCAATGGGGCAACATATTTGCCGTGTGTTGCGACCCGTGTCGTTGGAGAGAGGAATCCTGGTAATTGAGTGGGGATTTGGCTTGCGAGCCCTTTCTCTACAACACATTACTACTTTGGCCCATGGTTCACCTAGACGGGAGGTCAGAGTGGCCCACTCTGATCAATCGGCTTTGGTCGTTTTAGCAATGTAGAATGTACCCTTTCTCAGTTTAATGCTGTTGTTTATTCACTCAACAATTATCTACCTCTGTGTCCTTAGTACATTCTACAGAGCGGCGGCTTGGGTCAATCAGGTTGGAGTAGTATTTTTACTCTCTTGCTTGAGTATACCCTTCGTCGAGTCCCTGGGGGACGACGAGGGGTGAATCAAAAAAAAATATTTCATGGATTCCCCAATCCCCCCCACATCTATTAACTCATTGACCCCTATACTTAATTCATTATCTACTACTGTCTCTCCCTAAGCCAATTAACTAGACAATAGCTTATCTCCCTGGAGCTAATTAAAGGATTATCCATTAATCCAATATATTGCAGAGAACACAAAATAACACACAAACTATTATTCCAGTCAAAAAATTTTCATATATTCAAATGAAGATATATAATTGGGCATCAAAATGGTCTAGCTTTTAAGCACTAATACAAAATAACAACAAAGTTATTCTTTATTTAAATTCAACAATATTTAGCACACGCACATTGTACAACAGGCCATAGCATTTAAATGTCCTAAAAATGTTGAAAAATTCACTGAATTTAACTTAATTTGCTGAACAAAGTCGGTATTGTATTCGCCGACCACGGGCCGACATTTTGATTTTTTTTCGTAGTAAGTCGTATCTGGGTCATCTTCTTCTCCGTTTATAATCCCGGAAAAAACAATTTCCCGAACACTATTGAGAGTAATATTCACATCTAAAATACCCTTCGATAAAAATCCTACAAATTCTGAATCACTTTCCATAGTGAAGAAATTATTAAAAGAGTGAGCGCTGGGATATTATAATTCGACGAAGAGTGGCTGCCATTTTTGGTACACCGTATATCACGTATATCTTCTTCTCTGTTTCATATCTCGAAATTCTCAATCACTTTCCATAGTGAAGAAATTATTAAAAGAGTGAGCGCTGGGATATTACAATTCGACAAAGAGTTGCTGCCATTTTTGGTACACTGTATATCACGTATATCTTCTTCTCTGTTTCATATCTCGGGATAAATCACTTTCCCCGGAACATTTAAATAAATATCCGTTGATAAAATTCCTTCAAATTCTGAATCGGGATCACTTTCCATAGCAAAGAAATTATTAGATGAACGGGCGTGAAAATATTAAACTTGCGTACAAAATGGCGCCCTATGACACGAATTTTCTCGAGAGTTCACAACCTTATAACCCCGAAACCATTGATGTGACGTATATGTTTTATGATTTAAATCATTAGTTCAAACTATACGCTTATTCGATAACTACTTTTGGAAAGCCAATCGTCTTTTTATACGCCCACATTTTCATGTGGACGTATATTGTCGTCGCCCCTGTCCGTCCGTCCACAATTGTTTGTGAACAGTCTACAGGTCACAATTTTTATCCGATTTCAATGAAACTTGAAATATAGGTTTATCACCCTAAGATCTCGGTTCCTTTCGATATTGGCATGTATCGGACCGTAACTTCATGGATTATGGCCCCTGATTGTACGAAAAATCACGTTTTTGGCTTGTGAACACTGTAGAGGTCACAATTTTTATCCGATTTGCTTATAACCCAAAGATCTCGGTTCCTTTATATATTCGCGCATATCGGACCGTAACATCCTGAATTATTGCCCCTGATTGTACGCAAAAACATGTTTTTTGGCTTGTGGACCCTATAGAGGTCATAATTTTTATCCAATTTAAAAAAACATGTCAATATATCACCGCTACTCCCTAAGGACGGCTGAGTTCAAATTTCGTGAAAATCGGCCCAAAACTGACAGACAAAATGGCCGCCCTTCGTTCTCAAATAGCGTAAAAATATGGTATATCAAGGTTGTGGACCCTATAGAGGTCACAATTTTTATCCGATTTTGTTGAAATTTGAAATGTAAGTTTATAACCCAAAGATCTTGGTTCCTTTCGATATTCGCGCATAACGGACAGTAACTTACTGAATTATGGCCCCTGATTGTACGAAAAATCGCGTTTTTTCTTGTGGACCCTATAGAGGTCATTATTTTTATCCGATTTAAAAAAACGTGTTAATATATCACCGCTACTCCCTATGTGAAAATCGGCCCAAAACTGACCGAGAAAATGGCTGCCCTTCGTTCTCAAATAGCGTAAAAATATGGTATATCAAGGTTGTGGACCTTATAGAGGTCACATTTTTATCCGATTTTGTTGAAACTTGAAATGTAAGTTTATAACCCAAAGATATTGGTTCCGTTCGATATTCGCGCAAATCGGACTGTAACTTCATTAATTATGGCCTCTTATTGTACGAAAAATCGCGTTTTTAGCTTGTGGACCCTATAGAGGTCATAATTTTTATCCGATTTAAAAAAACGTTTTATTATATCACCGTTAAACCCTAAGGACGGTTGAGTTCAAATTTCGTGAAAATCAGCCCAAAACTGACAGACAAAATGGCCGCCATTCGTTCTCAAATAGCGTAAAAATATGGTATATCAAGGTTGTTGACCCTATACAGGTCACAATTTTTATCCGATTTTGTTGAAACTTGAAATGTAAGTTTATGACCCAAAGATCTTGGTTCCTTTCAATATTCGCGCATATCGGACCGTAACTTCCTGAATTATGGCCCCTGATTGTACGAAAAATCACGTTTTTATCTTGTGGATCCTAGAGGTCATAATTTTTATCCGATTTAAAAAATCATCACCGTTACACCCTAAGGACGACTGAGTTCGAATTTTGTGAAAATCGACCCAAAACTGACAGACAAAATGGCCGCCCTTCGTTCTCAAAGAGCATAAAAATATGTTAATCAAGGTTGTGGACCCTATAGAGGTCACAATTTTATTTCTATTTTGTTGTTACTTGAAATGTAAGTTTATAACCCAAAGATCTTGGATAACTACTTTTTGGAAGCCAATTGGCCTTTTATGATAACTTTCTTGATCAATAAAACTTTACATCAAAGAGGCCGACAACAGTCGTCGTTAGGAAAAGTGACTAGACATTAGGTATTCAACAGGTGGCGTAAGTCGGTAAAATTCAGTAGTAAATTAGGTCGACGCCTGGCGTAAGTTGGACTGAATGAGTTAAAGAACTGATACCTGCCGTCGTATGAATCCTGATAAATAATATTTTACCGTATCACAACAGGTCAGTACTAAAACTAACACTTATTACAGTATTTCAACATCATGCGGCAAAATAGACATTCGACGGCAAAACTGAATGATGACCCACAACTAAACACATCGTAATATCTGAACATCGCACGTGAAATTAGATGTTTGACAACAAAATTAAACACCTTGCGTAATTGGACACTTTGACTGATTTTAATCACGCCTCGGGAAATTAAACAGTCCAACTAATTATTGAACAGTCATGCTAATTAGAGGGACGCTTATAATTCAACACATGCCGAGAAACTAAACACCAGTTAATTAGACGCTTGGTAATCAAAATTAAACAGTGAGATTGAAATTCGATAAAAGTACAAATTGAGCACTATTCGCCGAAATTCAACAATATTTATGAATAATTGGACACAGAATAGAAATTAACGCTATTTACGCAAGATTAAACGGTACCAATGTTACAGTGTGATGACCTTGTTGCACAACTTCCTCTCAGGTTTATTATTAAGGGAGATTTCAATGGTCATCATTCACTCGGGGGTAGTCCAGATGATAACAGCCGAGGTAAACAAGTAGCGAACTTCATTAACCTTAATAATTTGTGTTTATTATCTACATCTTGCCACAGCTTCTTTTTCTTCCCTCGATCTCACCATTTGCTCTCCGGTCCTGTTTCAGGATTTTACATGGAGAGTAAATGAAGATGTTTCCTATCTTGATTGATAATAATCTCACGCATCTGATTTACGTGTGTACACGTTGACTCCCTACCCTGATTAAAGCCGTTTGTTATACGCCCACATTGAAATGTGGTCGTATATTGTCGTCGCCCCCGTCCGTTTGTCCGGCGGTCCGGCTACCACAATTGCTTGTGGACACTCTAGAGGCCAAAGTTAATGTGGTCGTATATTGTCGTCGCCCCCGTCCGTTCATCCGGCGGTCCGGCGTCCACAATTGCTTGTGGACGCTCTAGAGCCCAAAGTTAATATCCGATTGACCTTAAATTTGTACACAGTGTTTAAGGTCTTGAGACGAAGAAGCCTATTGATTTTCAGCAATTTCCGATAATTACTGCCAGAGTTCTGGCCCTTGATCACTTCAAAACATCTTGTGGACGCTCTAGAAGCC